TTCAATCTATTTGTCTTCTAGTGCTCTCCATTTAATATAGGGAATCATTGCCCGACTTGTTCTTGGCAGAATCTGGGCTGCTTCCTTGATGCCATTCCTCTCTCCTGTCACCTCCTGACTCTATCAAAACCATCACGAAGCACTATTGATTCTGTCTAAAATCACCCTTATATCCATTCATTTCTCTGTATCTGCCTACTTTCTAATTCAGCACTATTCTAGACCACCTGGGTTACTTCAGTCATACCTTTCCTACCTTCCCTGAACATTCTTTTTCTCTCCCAAATTATGCTGCATCCATAGTGATCTTACAACACAGAGATCATGCCACTTGCCTGATGCCTTTATGATTTCTTACTGTATTCAAGTTAAAAAAAAAATCCCTGCAAGTCAAAGGTCCCACATGATTTTGCTTTCCTCTAACTCCTCATCCTGACTGCATGTGATTCTCCCGTTCCAGAATATTTTCAGGTTACTGATCTTCTCTGAGTTCTCTGAGGCACCTGCTAATTCCGTACTTGTAGGTTTTGGTATATATGCTCTTTACCATAAATATTTCATCCCTAAGCTCACCAAGCCAAATACTGCTCATCCTCCTAGTGTCAATTTCAATACCACTTGGAGGCACTCTTAGTATGAACATGGATGGATGTGTATCTAACTGTAGACTTGTAAACTGGCCGTGCAAAGAAAGTCCCACCGATAACATGGTCCATAAGGCCCAGAATAATCTCGGAACACTTCATTTCATCCCATCTGGACTAGAATTGAAGCTGAATAGGACAACTGAACTCAGCATTTATGGAACACATTCTTTTCTGCCAGAACATCACATCCATGATAATCTTAGTCCACTTGAACAACAGTGTGATCCCATTTAAATTGCAATTGCAACACCACCATCAATTATTTTTGTGCACCTTCATTTATCTGGTGCTTTATAATTATTTCCTCAGTTCTCATAGAAATCTTGGAAGTTATTAGAGACACCATTTTAGAGAAGGAGAAATTTAGACTTGGAAAAAAAGTTCAGTAATATGCTCAAGATCTCACAGCTTATTAAGGGCTGAGTTGAGTTTGAACTCAGGTTTGTCTGACTCAAACAAAAGTTCACCCTTTTTTTTTTTTTGAGTCCAAAAGTCCACCCTTTCTACCTCTTGTATGCTAATGGCAATGGATAATTGCTTTCTATGGTCTAAAGGGTATGTTGGAATCTGCCCTGATTCTGTTAGGAATGAAAGCCAGGGCTTCTGAGCAATGGCTTCGGTGGAGCCGAAGCTTGAGGGTGTAATAAGTTGTTTGGGATATGGAGCCCCATTGTCTGAGTAGGACTTTGCCTCACATTCTGACTGACGTCCAGCAGAAGGGTCTGCCTGTGGGAGCTACCCAGGATCTGAAAAGTCAGCCACAGGAACACTGGCACTAATCCAGGTGACAGACAAGTAGAGTGTGATGCGGCTAAAGGTGAATAATGGGGTAGCGGGCCATTTCTTTGGCCTCTTGGTCTAAAAATATGTTCTCAAAGACCCATATGAGTTGGATCCGAGGCATTGATCTGAATTTGAAGAAACACATGTCTAAGAAAATAGGCATGGGCCCATGAAATGGAGTTGAATGGATTTCCAGATGCATACACATTTCCTTCTTCCAAATTTACTGTAGTTGTTTGAAGAGTGGCTCTGTGATTCACAGCGGCCTGGCTGTCAGTGGTACCAATGGTCACTGATATTTAAATGAGAAATTTAAAAGATCACATTTTTAATTTGAAGTGATCTTCATGGGAATTAAACGGTTAAATTCTCTGCTCCTTTCTTGAATACTGAAGAGGAAGGACTAACAGAGACAACAAGATGTATACCTTGACTTCTTGACTCTGCCCAATTATCATTTTCCTCAGACATTTTGCTTTGGATCTTTCACTCACAGCACGTCCATAACTAAGATGTCACATTTTCACTGAATTCTATTTTGTTATTTTTGTCAGAGGGTAAGCTGGAACTCTTGAGTGTGAGAAAATTGATCTGGTTGCTAATGGGACATAGTTGAAATAAGCAGTTTGACTGACTTCTTCACTTCCTTATATTATTAGCATTGCTACTTTTAGATAAACTATTCCTGAAATTAGTGTAGGAGGATGGGGTTTAGTCTTGTATCTTCTCTTTTAAAGCACTCACAGTTAGAGATCCCAGAAGGATCAGTTTTCTCACTTGTACTGAAAATGTCACTCTAACAGTTATCTGTCTGCACAGTCAAGTTTTGAGAAATCTTTTGAATTTACCGCATTCACACCATTCTTCATCATGGTGCTAAAAATGACTAATGCAGCTTGAAGACTGGGAGACTGTGATAGCTAATCATTCCTTTCCAATCACACACTAACACTCAGACACACACTCATATGCACACATTCTCAGCTGATGTGAATCCTTAAAGGTTTAAAATATCCTATATGCTAAATAGAATGTGGAGGCATGTAGGATAGTATGCATATAGTTAGAGTGTTGGTTTCACTTATGGTCAGCTCTGTCCAAAACATTGGTCTGTTTGTTTGACTCAATAGACTGATCATACATGAGTCACAATAATATATGACTTAAACTTTGTATTTAAAATGATCTCTGGTGTTCAGTGTTTCAAATGCATGATTTAACTTTATCCTCTCATCATCTCTGAGAAAAGTGAAGTGCAAGCATTCCCTTTTTTCAACAAGAGGAGACAGTGCTAGAGAGATGCTAGTCTACCCAAACTCACGCACACGGTGGAAGCAACCATTCTGTTTCACAGGCCCTAATTAGTCACTATAAACCAGTGTAGGATCACTAGAACCAAATCATTTTGATGAACTGCATTTCCTTTCTCGATGAATGCTATTTTGACGGCTAAAGGAACTATCACAGCCGCAGATACTCCCAGAAAAGCACTTAAGTCTCCTGTGATGTCATTGGGACAATGATGGAGAAGTGTGTGGGTTGAATGATTGTAATTAGGGGAAGCGGGAGCTGATTACATCCAAAAGGGAGGATTAGTTGATTGTCATTAACTTGCAGTGAGATCTCTAGGAATTTTCCACAAGGTTCTATTTTTGGTCCTGTCTAACTCAACACTTCTATCCGTCACCTGGAAGAAGTCTAGGAAGTTGCTTACTAGTTGCGGATCACACAGAGCTAGTAAAGAATTAAGGATTAGTAATTCACTGGAATGACAGACTCAAAATTTTAAAATATTCATTATTTATTTAGGATGGGCTGACATTTAGAAAGGATAATGATTAAGTCCTGCCTTTAGTTAGGAAAAAAAAAAACTGTGATAAGATGTGTGGAACTAAATGGAGATAACTGCTATAAAGAAAACAACAAAAAAAAACAAAAAGAACTTCAGGTTTTAATTGACCGTAAGCATAATGCAATTACTGGAAAAGCCAACACTCTCTGTTGGCATTCAGAGAGAGAAAGAGAGAGAGACAGCAGGTTGATAAGAGTAAAATATCTATCCTGGTTGCACCCTTCTGGAGGATTTTGCTGGATTCTGAAAACCATATAAGGAATACATTGACGAACTGTTCATTTAATGGATGGAAGGGCTTTGACAGTGAAAAAATCAGGGAGTCATGCGATATGCAAAAAAATGGAGTCTTTGTGTTGAAAAGAATCATGATGGCTGTCTTTATCATACATTTACAGGATTAATTCCTAATCCTCACAACATGATGAATTATTTATTGTTGTTATTGGCATAGAAACAGGGGACATATAGCTAGAGTACCCAGGTAGTGTGATTATAGAGTCTACTCTCTTAACATTGTACCACATTATTTCTCTGAGTATTTATCAAATGTGTGAAGAGTTGCTATGTGGGTAGAAAATTAGACTCATTCTGTGGAATGTAGTTATCAACAGTTGGGCCAACTCAGGTAGAGAGTCTGCTATCTCAAAGTAGAGAATTTTTCTGGGTACTAGAAGATGCTGGTACATCGTGTAGTTTTGGGTACACTTAAGAAAAAGAGTAGATGAACTTTAGGTAACACCCAATTGTAAAATTCTAACTTGTCAGGATATGATTTGATATAACACAATGTTATTGTAAGCAGAAAACAAAAACGCTTAAGACAAGTAAATTAGTGATAATTTAAATGGTGTTCTTTTGAATACAAGTTTAAAGAGCACCCCACCCCACCAATCATGTTGGTAAGATGTCCTCACCCTTTGTCCTGGGTAAACCTCCTTCATGGGCACCAAACTGCCAAAATTATATAAACTTTTGTTTATCCGTCTTTTACTATATCTAGAATATTATCAATAACATCTTATATGCAGACCCCCAGCCAAGGAGGGTGTATTACTGTGGGTCACTCCTAAGAGCTGTTTGAGTATTAAAGCAACGTTGGCATTAGTTTCAGAATGCTGAGAGGGATGGATCTGTCAGATACTACCTTTGATGACTGGAATACTTCTCTTTCTTTTTCCGGTCTTAATCATTGCACTTAAAATAAATAAGGATGACCATACACCTTTATAAGATTGTCATAATAAATGCAATAATGTATATAACAATTCCTCCTATACTATGCAGACTCAATAAAAATACAGTTTTTTTTTCTGTGAAATGTATTTGCATGGATAGTTCTGTGTAATAGAGAATTTGCCTGGTCTTTGTCCCTGGTTCCTGGGAAGTGAACTCTCAGCCTTTTGATTTTCGTGGTGATTGGAGTATCTTTGTTATTCACGGTGGCCCTTCACATGCTACTTGATGGTTTATGCTGATGAGATGACTCAGAATGGAGCCTGGCCAGCAAGAAGGCCAGCCATGTGATCAGAGGGCTGGAGCTTTGAGCCACATGATAATCAGTCCAACTCTGGAGAAGAGAGAGAGAGGCTGGAGATGGTGTTCAACCACGTGGCCAATGGGTTCAGCCAATCTTGCCTCAATAAAAACTCTGCATACTGATGCTCACGTAAGTTCCCTTAGTGGCAATAATCTGCATGTCGACCCACACTGACGTGTCAGTTCAGTGCTGCATCCCTGAGGCTGAAGGGCGTCTCACGTTTGGAACTCTCCCGGACATGACGTGTCTCTGCCTTTGCTTCACTCTGATTTGTATTCTTTCGCTGTAATAAAGCTGAATCATAAATACCGTGCTTCCCCGAGTTCTGTGAGTCATTCTAGAAAGTTATCAAGGCTGAGGAGGTCTGTGGGGTCACTCCACCTCTATGGCCAGCTTATCAGAAATGATGGCAGCTCTGGGGACCTCCAAACTTGTGGCTAAAGTGAGGACAATCTTGTGAAGAATTGTATCTGTAAAGTTTGACTGAACTCTGGGTAACTTGCTTAAGCGTGCGTATGAAGGATTTGGATTTATATAAGAGATAAACTGATACTAACATTTGATTTTGAAGTTCTAGAGTATATCAGATATGGTTTGATCACAGATTTTTTTAGAATAAATTTGCAGAAACATCTTCATTGAGTAATGCTGAAGAAAATAAACATATATTCATTACCTAAGATGTTTAGGTAAAGATAGAAGCAAAACTTTTCCAGGTTATCTTATAAAATCCTAATTCCACTGTAAAATTCTTTTACACATAAAGATTCTAACGAGAAGTCAACAACTTGCTATAGTTCACTCAATTAATTATGAGGGTTTAGATTTGAGCTCTTTGAGAAATGAAACCATATCTCACATAATTCTTTGCAGCACAGGACCTGGCACATAGTAGGCGTTCCATATGCTCGTTTGCTTAACCTTCCCAGTTAACTAAGAAAAGGACTTTTTAACCATCAATCAAGGATTAGAGATTTGTTCTCTAGAATTCTACTATACTCATTGAATTTATCACTCTTAATTTTATTTAATTAAATATATTCCTTTCCTATAATCCCTGGAAATTTTGTGAAGGTTTGGGAGAGTTTATTTTGCTAGCTATAGTACCCCCAGTAACCAGTATGATGCCTGGAACACAATAAGTCCTCCATAAATATTTTCTGAATGGAGTCCTATTGTTAATAGGAGTTTCTTATTCATAGAAGTTAATTTTTCCATAATTTGAAAATAGTCATTTTAATCTGTTACGAGAGAACACAACTAACACTTTCTTTACATGAAGTACAAAGCAGAACATTTGAAAGTAGAGAAGAATAAGCTTCTAATATATTCCAAAAATAAGCAAAACTAAGTTTTAAAAAATTTAAGCCATGTTAAACATCTTAGAACAAATAAAGGGAAGTATCTGTGGATTTAAAATATAGCCAAAAACATTTCAGTGTGACAACTAATCATTGTTACATCAAGTCTGATTTTTCTCCCAGTACATGTATGAGTAGTACTTTTATGTTGCCTGTGAATTTCTCAGATTGGTTTTTTCTTCTGACCAAAATATCATGGGAAAAACTTTCCAAAATCTTTTGTTATTCAACTCACAATTTCTCTTTGTTTGCATAGACAAGATTGCAGGAAAATGACAAAAAAAGATCATCCAGATATCCTATCCTATATTTACACAAGACTTACCTTTTCTGAGGATTATCTATGCCAGCTATGAGGCGTTATTGAATATGGCCTCATTGAAAGACCTAATAAGAATACAATAATGACCAATTTGTTTTAAAATACACTAAAAAAGACAGCAGACAGGGTCTCATGAGAAGTGACATTCTGTAATTACCTCCTCCTATCAAAAGAAAAACAATTCCCAGAAATTAATGAATACAGCAAGAGTCTATGTCCTATCTTAATTCTATCTTAATTGCAAAAGTGGATCAATTAAAAAAAAGACTACACTGCCAAAGCCCCTCTCTTAAGTTTTGTCTCCCAATTCTCTAGTCATCGAATCAATATATGTAAGCATACCATGAACCTGTTTTTACCTTCTGAGATGAGATACACCAACTCCACAAGCAGTGCTCCTGCGAAGCAACCAAGTCCATTGAATAGTGTCAAAAAACTCAGAGAGGTTCCTCTGATGGTACTTGGAACAAATCTGTATGATATTACAGAGACTGAGGGTAAAAGAGAAGGTCAGAATTTAGAACATTATCTCTAACGTACTTTCATAGATACTGCTCAAATGAGTGTTAATCATACCTCAAAGTTTACTGACACAGGAAAAATTGGGGTTGGACCTTGTTGAAGTTACTATAGTAAGATATGTTATGATGTTACAATTTACAGATGTCTACAAGGAATAAAATATGGCAAAACATACTCTTGTTCAGCTACACGGAAAATCTGATTGCTCGATGTTTGAGTGTCTTAGTATATTCACTCAAATTTCACCCCAATTTGAATATTTCTTGTGAATTGTGGATTGAAGGGAGGCTTGTCCATGATAGATAATAATACGACAATCTATTGATAATGTGTATGATTCTGTGATTCTATATAAATCATTAGATTCTGATAATGTGTATGATTCTGTGATTCTATATAAATCATTAGATTCCCTCTGGAAAACTTGAATTTATTGAATTTATATTAAACTAGCCTGGAGGCTAAGACCCTGGACCCTGGAGTTAGACAAGATTATGCTAAAATCCCAGGTCAACCATTTACCACCTCTGTGATTTTAGTAAGTTACTTAAACTTTCTAAGCCTCAGTGTTGTTCTCTATAAAATGGGAATAATATCATTACTCATTTGCAGAAGGGCTATGGCTCTTGCTATAAGATATGTAAAGTGGTTATGACAATGCTGACTTGTAGGAACTGAATAAGGTTAGCTATTTTTAACAATATTAGTCTTACCAAGTCCCTGCTTGTGCAAGGCACTGTGTAAAGCCTTGCATTTTTAAATACACAAATTTAAATTTAAATAAGCATTAAAAGTATCCCATTTAAGAAAAGATTGTCTAAAGAGAGACAATAGCTTAAGTACTGGGTCTCCTAATGGTTATTTTTTTGCCCAAGTTGTTGTGGGGGTAATAGTAAATGGTGGCAAGAGACAGAAAGAAAATCATGGAGGAAAATTTTTCAAAAATTTCAATCAAAAATAATTTTTTGGTATCAGAAATAGATGAAACTAAGTATATATGATTTTTACATGCCATGTTTACATAACTATATTAAAATATGCATGGCAATCTTAGGGATACATGCTAAAATATTTACAATATTTATGAAAGTATGATATCTGGGATTTGCTTCAAAATTATGTAGCAAAGAGGAGGAGTGTGTGCAAATGAGGGCAGAGATGAGACAAGTTGGGCCGTGAGTTGAAAATGATTGAAGCTGGAATATGTAAACAAGGGAGTTTCCTTGTGTATGCAAGGCAAAACATTGTCAGGAAACATATTAAATAACATGGACAGTTTTAGCTTTGAGTGGTTCAATTAATGGATTTTTAATTTTCTTTTTTCCTACTCTTTTGGTACTTTGCAAGTTTTTCTACAATATGATATCATAAACATCACAGTTCATTTAAAAAAGAAAAGCGATGGTAGAAAACCTATGTGAAAATACTAACCCTTTAGTTTCCTTCTCTATAAGAAGAAAGAGATGTTATTAATCCCCCTCCTTTCCTTCTCAGGAAAATTTCACCCCTGGTTTATTCGTACTTTACCTCAGTAAAACTGCATGTATCCAGCACAGTTAAACGAACTTACAAATACCCCATGTAAATGGATTGACATTCCTTCCGGCATTCATTGAATAATTCTGTTGTGCTTTCTACCTGTCCTCCACATGTTTTTGTTTGTCATCCAATAAACATTTAAAGCAGCCCCTGTCTGTGCTCCAGGGTGAGTGCTGAGTGCCGGGGCTGAGGGTGGGAGAAGGCATTGGAGCATCTACCCTGGTTTTCAACTCTGAGAAGGCAGAGAGCAGAGAGAGATACATGCACAATGTGAAGGGCAGTGCTAAATGGGACTCAATACCACAGATACTTTTTGAAGGAGAAGATAGTGATAGTGATACGTAAAATACCATGGAGGTGGGCTTCAAATACTAGTGGCAAGGGGCCGTGGATACCACAGCTCTCCTGGGGGGTGCAAATCGCCAGCAGGAGTCCGAGGCCACGCTTACAAGTGTTTTCAGGAAGATTCAAAGGAGAGCATGAAGGAAATGCCGAAGAGGCTTTGGGAGGAAACGACTCAGTTATAAAAAAGATTTGGCTTATGAACTTCCCTCTTTATAAACATGAAGAGACAAACACCGGCAGAAAGACAAAGTAGGCGGATTTCTTTCACCGAGAAAAAGCAGACCGTATAAGCCCATTATTACTCTGCTAGTTAATTATTAATTCTGTGCTTTTCTCTTGCTAGAACTTCTGGTGTGGTATATAATTCATGAACGCACTTTGCCAGCTCTCTGCCTGCTGGTTAATCTCTCTTTGGTGTCATTTTAGTCGTGTTGAAAGTCTCCACTTGCCTTTAATAGGACTTAGCTTTTCAGGTCCTCGAATCTCCATTTTCAGGCATCTCCTTGCATGTTCTGATCTTTTTCGACTTTACTGATCATCAACTTGAGTTTTTAGGCTCCACGATACTTCTTTTAGCACATTGTAGCATAGATATTATCAGCCAGCCTGCCACTATTCTAAAATTCTCATTGCACTATGAAGACACAGTAAAAAATGTTCAAGGTTGTACGTGAAAGCTAGTCTTGCCAGTGAGAGCTGAAATGTGCCTCAGATGGGGGCTGGTTAGTGTTTGCTAAGATGCCCCATCACGCCAGATGCAAAATCTGCAAATTGTAGGGCCATAACCATCTTCTTGAGGCACCTGGTATTGGGGACTTGTTGCTGGAAAAATTTCTTTACTCTAATTTTTCTTATATAGTTTAAAATGTGTTTATTGTGTTTGATAAGAAGTTAATTTAAACATGTGGAGAAGCAGCCCAGCCCTAGAAAATGGAGTGTTATTCTATTACCACTTTCACATTCTGATTCTTTCCTCATCCCTAAAAAGCTTCAGCTCTGAGTCTCATGTCATCTGATTGTATCAGCTAGTACCTCCCTTTCCTGCTATCGTCTGCCAGAATCTCTAGGACATCTTCTTCTGTTGGGTCATCAGCTCCTCTCTCCTTGTCTCGCTCTCCAGGTCTCCTCCTGCCTTAGTCCTTGGCAGTTTTAACACACAGGTGAATCAGCCTTCCAACCTTCCACCCTGTCAGATCTTGGTTTTTCCATCCCTTGATCTCCTCTCTGATGTCCTGTGCTCCACTCTACCTTAGTCACTCACATCCGTGGTTACACTCTGAACCCTGTACCCCAGACCAGGGGTTGGTGAAGTATGGTTAGGTGACATCCAGCCTGCCACCTATTTATAAATAAAGTTTTACTGGAAGTCAGCCTCATCCATTCATTACATGTTGTCTATGCTCACACACCACAATGACAGAATTGAGGAACAGAGGCTGGCAGTGTGCAAAGCCTATTTACTGTCTGACACTTTTTAGAAAGCTTGCCAACCCGTGCCCGAGACCAATCAACGTAACCGCCCCTTAATCTCAGCTTTGTGTGCCCCACTCTGATGGCGGCCCTCTATTGTCCCAGCTTACTCTCTACTGCTTGACCACAGAAATGCTCTACTCCTCCAGGACCTCCACTCCTTTGCTCCTTTCAGCACTCGCACCACTTTCATGCCCTTCATATTCTCACTACTCATTCTACCCAAGTTACCATCTGTGGCCAACTGTTATGATCACATTCCCCCATTCCTTTGTGTATCTCATGCCTTCTAGAACTTGACTGGTGAAACAATTCACTGTCTGCCATCTCTGCTCCTATATCCATGCAACCTAATGTGGCTGCAGAAAAACATATAACCATCCACCTGCAGCCCTCTGTCTCTCTGTAGATGAGAGGGCAACTCCATCTTTCCAGGGGCTTGGGCCATAATTTACATGTCATCCTTAACTCCTTTCTTTCTCTCATACCCTATTGGTTCTGTCTTCAAAACTTTAAACTAAACTTTGACCAGTTCTTGTTACCTATACTGCTACTTCCCTGGTTGGAGACACTCTTCGGTCGTCCCTGGATTATGGTCCCAATTCTTCTATCCTTTTCCTCACTATAGTATATTCTCCACAGCAGAGAGAGGGGTTCTTTAGAACTCTCAGTAATATCACGCCACTCCTTTTCCCATTTCCCTCAGAGCCCAAGGCAGGGTCTTTGAGATGGCCACTCCCACTCATGTCTTCCTTGTTCCTCCCTTCCTTACTCTCCTCCAGCTGCACAAGACCCTTTGCACTATCTTGCCAGACACATCTTTGCATTTACTGACTCCTCTGCCAGCAGCGACATTCTTTATAGATACTCATGTGGCTTCTTCAACTCTTTCAAGAACTCCCATTGAGGTCTATCCTGGCCAACTGCTCCCTCCTACCTTGGCCTTCCTGGTCTCTCTTATCCTGCTCTGTCTTATCTTTTCCTATAGCATTCGCCACTTAACATGCTCTATGTTTTAATCATTTGTTACATTTATCGTTTTTTATGTTTTTTCCCCTTGGTCAATTGTAAATTCTAATGGCATAAATTTTTCTTTTTTTTTTTTAAACTACTGTGTCTCAAGCAACTAGAGCAGTGTCGGCATATTACAAAACACCCACACAGTATTTTTTTAAATAAATAAACACAGGTTATAAGATAGCTGGGGTATATACTACTATAGTTAAGATACAGTCTGAAAAGTTCTGTATGTACATTTTTTTCTTATGGGTCATCTCCAATGTACAGCCTGGCTTACTAGGGTGAAACATGTCCATTGAAATTTGGGGAGGATCCACCTTGCTCAATGTCATTAATGTATGACATGGTAATTTGAAAAATATACTTTAATTATACTGGTATGGAAATAGCCACAGATTTCAATTATCCTCTTACTCAATCAAAATATATTTATTGATCACCTACCCACTTTTCAGGAAGAACATAGAATAATATAAGGATGAACAAGAAGTATAAAAATCTTGATGTCAAGACTGTATATTCTCATGGTGAAAAGCAGGCACTAAATATACACATATAAATAATTTCAGATTCTGACAAGTGGCATAGAGAAAATAGAAATAGGGTAATGGGCTGGAAAATGATAGCATGACTGGGAAGCCTCTCTGAAGAGATGATCTTTGAGAAAACTCAATAATGAGAAGCCAGCTATTTGAAAACAAGGAAAGGGGATTCTAGGTCGAGAAAAGAGTAAGTACAGGAGCCTTGGGGCAAACATAAGTCTGACACTTTAGAAACACAGCATGAAAATCATCACATCGCTAGTGAAGTGGTCAAGGGGAAAAATGTCACAAGATGTAGCTGGAGCAGTACATGGAGGACAAATCATGCGGGGTCTTATTCATCATTTAAGGAATTTATCTCCAAAATCCTATTGTGGAATTTTAAGGAGGGGAATGATAGGACTTGTGTTTTGGAAAGTCACGATAGCTGTGTTGAAGAGAGTGAACTCATGGGGCAGGAGAGGAGGCAGGCAGACAAGTTGGGGGCTCTGGTAGAATGGTGTACCACCGTCAGGGAGATGGTGGTGTGCACTAGGAGGACAGCAAAGAAGACAGTGAGGCAAGGCCAGATTTAGATTCTATTTCAGAGTAAAGACGAAGATTTTCTGTTGGATTGGAGGTGAAGGAAGAGGAAAAAACGTTATCTAGGTGACTCAGGTGAGAAAGACCCCATTCTTCTCTTACTAGCAGGTGTCCTGGTGTTCAGGTTGGCAGGTGTGATGCAGAAATGAACAGGACACTGGTGTTTGAGTACTTAGTCTTACACTATTAATAATAACAAGACAACATGTTATAGCTGCTCATGATTAAGTGTTGTCCATCTACTAGATACGCTACCTTTTCCTTTACATAAAAAACCATTGCACTTAGTTCTTACAACAATCCTTCCCTATTTTACAGATGGTAAAGCTCAAAAATGCAGAATAATTTTGCCAGGGACACATAGCTAGTCAATGGCAGAGCTGGGTTTGAACTCAGACCTGACTTTAAGACCACAGATATTAACCACTATACTGTACTGCTATCTGGGAGAGTAACTCTTGATTTTATGGTTCAGGACACCCTTTCACATTTTATGTCATTTACTTCTTATAGAGGAGCCCCCATTCCCATTGATTCTTTCACTAGTGCTATAATATAATTATAATTATTTCCATTTTAAAGTTCAAAAAGGTGAAGCTTAGAAATTAAGTGAATTCTCAAGGTCACACACTTGGTAAGTGGCAAAGTTGGAAATCAAAACAAAGTCTTCTGGTCCCTATGAACTCTATAGCTGATAAGTCAACCGATTTAGTTGGACCTCAGTTTTCTGATCATTAAAACAGGGAGTCATAGACTAAATGATTTATATTATATGACCTGCTTTTTAACAGTCTGCAGTTGTACCTCTCTGTTTTTTGTATGTTGAACCACTTGGGCTAAGTAGCTAGGAATTTCCTGATTATATTTAATCATCACCTTCATTAGTTACCTATCTTCACATCTAGCCTACAAAATTTTGCTGATTACTTCCAACAATTTTCTGAAAAAAAAAATCATCAGGGAAATTACAAATATTTGTGTAGTATCATTATTTTATACCTCTTTTGTATTCATGGTAGTGTCAAACAATGATATACACATCTTAGAATCTCATAAAATAATTGTTCATACAAATTATATGGAATGAAATGATATAAAATTATAAAAGAGAAGTGTCATACTTCTAATATGACTACAATTGCATAAGCTTTATTAATTTAATTTTAACATTTTTTCAATGAACTGTTTTGGTATGTGTATACATGTGTATATATATATATGAATATATATCTCATATATATTTAAGGAATTTGGGAATAACTGAAGATAATAGAATAATTGAAGATTTAGACACAAGTGAAATGATTAGAACTGTCATTTAGATGATTACACTAAAGGTCATATGCTGAGCAAACAGAGTGGGAGAGATACTGGAGGTAGGAAAATAGTTAGGAAATTATAAAAATAATCTTGGTAAAGTATAACTGGGCCTTGATTTACAGTCAGGGGTCCCACTATAGGGAAATATAAAATGCAGTCAATTACACTGTTAAGCACACATGTACACACACAATACTCTATTGTAAGAAGTCACTGAAATATGTGATGGATTTTAAAGTGGCCAGTTTAATTAATATCAGCAACCTAGAAAATCCAGAAAACCCTGGATATTTAATAAAGTCATTTTGAACCTGTCTTAGGAAATACAAGTGCTCACTCACGCTTTATTTAAGTTTAATCAAATTTAAAGACATTGAGTTATCTGGAAAATTGGGTCAAATTTTCATTTCATTTGCGTGTTTATACACTTTCAAAATATATTATGTCACTTTTGGAGGGAGTAGACATGTGAATTTATCCAAGAATAAAGGAGGGAGGTGGCAGAGGGAAAGTGTAAGAAAGGAGGGGAGTTTTTATCTAAGTATTTTGGAGTTGTCTTCTAGGTTTTAGCAGAATTTTTTCCTTTTTGCTGCATTTCTGACCAAATGGTTATTGCCTCTAACCAGATTAGTAAATGCTTCATTTCATCCATATTTAGGTAGAATTAATAACTCTTCTGTACGTGGTAGAGGAATGAAGAGAAGTTAAACATTTTTTTTAAAAAATGAGGGTGATAAACAGGCTTGCTCTGAAGCATTGTGGCAAATCTCCAGGGGTGATAGGTGGTCCAGGCTTGATGTGATGTGTTCTGCGTAAAGGTGCTGTGGTCTGACATGAGATATAAAACTGTTACTCACAGGCTGGGTTGACCAGTGTTTCAGCCACTCCAAGTAAAACGTACTGAAGAGAAAGGTGGAAACAGGGCATGGAGGAAACGGTGAGAACTTTGCCTAAAAGAGGCTGCTCCATTGGAGGGAAGTATTTTCTATGTATTTCGAAGAAGCCAGCCACCGTCACAGACAGTGCAGCAGAAAGATTCCCAGCGACTGAAGGAAAGGAGAGCAAAAGAAAAACATTAGAGAAAGCCCAAAATCAGTGTGGTTAGACCACAGGATTTCTTAGACATTGACCCTAGGGGATGCTTCCCCAACATGTTTTTCTGCTCTGGGGGTACCCAGGTGCCAGCTAGCTGTGTTGTATGACTGTCCGGCTCTTGGCCTCTGTCTGTCTGAAACTGCTCTGTGGATTCCTTAAGTCTTGAGTTACTGGTTAGATGGCCTCAGGCACGTTATTTGACCTCATTATCACTTCCTCAGCTCTAAGTTCGGGTTAATGATGTTTACTTTGTAGGGTGGTTATGAGATTTAAATAAGACAATGAACTGGTATTATTTTAACAGTTCCTGGTAGCAATTAATAGCAATTATTGAAAATAAAGCAATAGTTTTGAACTTTTTTCCTGTAATAAGATATATCATTCCTGATAACGTTTTAAGACATACATGAATCAGAAATGATTTTGGGGAAATTTGAAATGAAATGATCTCTTGATAAGGTTTTAATCATTATTTAAAAGTAGCTTTGAAATAATCTGCAAGTGTTATCAGTCCTCTGTAGAAAAAGTAAAATAGCTATTAGCACTTTAAAAATTAGAAACTTTTGTTTAGGAAAAAATATATTAAAGGTATAAATGGAAACAATTGTTCAAATAGTGGCCCAGCTCTTCTCTTTCTTTTACTTTTAAGGAATTATCCAGGGAAGTTTGGTTGACAATAAGTAGGGATTTTTGTTACAATTATGTTACAGTTGTATCTACTGCACTGTTCCATTTCTCCATTTATCATTCATATTACTGAACTTAATCCCATCGTTAGAGGCAAACTTTAGCTTGATGGAATTTACTTGAAATTTAGAGATAGTCACATTTTGCTAACTTGCATAAAATTCCAGATAAGGCAAAGTTTCAATTAAAAAAAATCAATCTAATGTTTAAATAGCTTAGTGTTTGTTTTGGTTGATAGAGAAACTGGTAGATAAGTTTTTTGATTATATCTCAGCATTTAAATGTTTCCATAAAGTCTGTGTCCCCAGGAAAAAGAAGGTGTAAAAAAGGAGGATATCTGAAAAACAGTTACAAAATTTAGGAATTTTAAGTTTTTATTATCTTGAATTAAGTTCTATAAAAGCCCATTCACAGTGAATTAGATTTTGGTTCTGTAAACACCTCATATAAAATATGAATTTCAATATTTTTTTCTACCTTTAAGATCAAATTCATCACATAATTGCATTTATCTTGATTACTTGGAACATTACAGAGAAAGTGAGTTAATATGGCAATTCAATTTAATATTTACTCTTTTCCTGCCATATGCAAGGAAATTAGGTGCAGTTGGGGATATGAGATGAAAAACATCTGTTGTCATCGCAGACTCATATTCTATTGGGGAATGTAAGAAGACTTACATGGGAGAGATACTGGAGGTAGCAACATCGGAAGTTAAAAGGTAATTGTGGTAAAGTATAATGTGGGCTTGAGCTACAGTCAGGGCTACCACTTCCAGGAAATATAGAGGGTAGAAACACAAGATGCAATAGACTCCACTGATAAAAACATAGCAACTGAAGCAAGGAGCAAGGTGAAAGCAGATGTCAATGTTGAACACGTGTCCAGGTGCGACAATAATATGATAACACCCACAGCAGATATGAAGAAAATGAATTTGATTTTGAGTTGAGTTAGTGGTACAAAGGGGGTAATCTAAGATTAAGTGCTTAGAAAACAACTGAAATGTGAACCATAAGTCAGAAGATTGGTTGAGTTAAAGAGAAAGATTAATGAATTATCTGCATAGAGCTGTAATTTAGGGTCAAGTAAAATTGAAAGATGCTTAGGAAGGTAGAGAAGAAAACATCTAAGCAATGCCTTCAACTCTGCATTTGGCAGCAAGAAAAATAAGTGAAACCACTGAAAGAGAGGCCAGAAAGATGGGTAACATCTAAGGGAAGGATTCAAAGAGGAGGATACACATAATGCAAGTTTTGATCTTTCCCCCTAATCACTCCCCATCTCCTCCAGTACCTTCCTGTACTCAAGGCAGCAATCTGGGGTCCCTCTCTTTTTTCTCCTGCCTCCAAAGATATTAAATTATCTAGATTTTATTTCCAAAATGCATTGTGAATTAACTTGCTTCTCTCCATAGCCACTGCCATCATTCTAAGCCAAGTCATTATCATTTTAACCCAGACCATATACAAAAGCATATTAATTGGTTTACCTGTTTCTACTCTTGCCCACCTAAAACCTCTTAAGTACCTACCAGAGTTTTCTCACACAAATGAAAACTTAATGTTACTTGTCTGCTTAAATTCCTTCTATGGTTTCCACAAAGTTAGGGTGAAACCCAACATCTTTAACATGGCCTGGGTGACCTCACCTGGCTCATTCATTCTCTCTAATTATTGCTATTTTCTCTTCTCTGGCCACATTGGTCTTTGTTGTCTTTCTTCACTATCTTAAATTCTTTCCCACCTTAGAGCCTTTGTTTTTGCTCCTCCCTCTGAAATGTTTTTTCTACTCTTTACCTGATGATTATCCTTCAGGTATGTATTTCATAATCTAAATTAGATCCTATCTGTTCATCTGCCCAGAGTATCCATTTTGTTCACCAGACTTACCACAATTTGAATTTAAATTGAATTTTTGGTGTGTTCATTTGTACCATGCCTGTTTCAATGACTTGACTGGAACCTTCATGAAAACAGAATCCAAGTTTGTCTTGTTTACCAGTCGTTACTACCAAAAAAAGTGTCCTGATTCACAGTACGCAACATGCATACACACACACACTACATACATATATAACTTAATAAACAAATGAGTAAATGAGCATAGAGTTAAATACTGTGAGATATAAAGGAATTAAAACAGGTGACAAGTCAATAGGATTGATGAATGGATTATTGATTATCTTTTAACTCAACAGAACTCCTGTGATGGAATCAGAAAGTAAGGTGATAGAGAATCAGTGGGTGGCAAGTATGTGTGAGTAGTATCATCCATTCTTTTTAGAAGTTTGGGGTGTAAGAAAGGAGAACTGAATAGACATTTCTCCGAAGGAGACATACAAATGGTCAACAGGTGTATGAAAAGATGCTCAGCATCACTAACCATCAGAGAAATGCAAATCTACACCACAGTGAGGCATCACCTCACACCTGTTTGAATGGCAGTTATCAAAAAGATAAGAAACAAGTGTTAAGAATGTGGAGAAACAGGAACCTTCCTACAGTGCTGGTGGGAATGTAAATTGGTACAGTCACTCTGGAAAACAATATGGAGGTTTCTCAAAAAAATAAAAATAGAAGTTTCATATGATACAGCAATTTTACTTCTAGGCATACACCCAAAGGACTTAAAATCAGGATCTTGAAGAGATACCAGCATTTCCATATTCACTGCAGCATTATTTGCAATAGTAAAGATATGGAAACAACACAAATGTCCATTAGTGGACAAATGGGTAAAGAACATGTAGTGTATACATACAGTGGAATATTATTAAAAAAAGAAATCCTGCCATTTATGACAACATGGATGAACTGGGGAACATTATGCTAAGTTGAAATAAGTCAGAAACAGAAGGACAAATACTACATGATAATCCTTATGTGTGGAATAAAAATAAACTCATAGAAGCAGAGAGCAGAATTGTAGATGCCAAGGGATGGGGGAGGAAAAACTGGGAGGTATTTAGTCAAAGGGTACAAAGTTACAGTAATACTAAGGGAATGACTCCTGCAGATCTACTGTACAGCACAGTGCCTACAGATAATAATACTCCATTTTTTACCTAAAAATTGGCTAAGAGGATAGACTTTGTTTTATGTTCTTATGACACAGTTATAAATTATTGTTTGTATATTTATATACAAATATATTTCACAAATATAATATATACCATAGTATTATAAATTAATAAAGAGGGGGATAAAACTTGTGAAGGTAATCTTTGTGTATGGCATAGCTTATGGTGATGATTTCATAGATGTATACTTATCTTCAAACTTACCAAATTGTATGCCTCAATAAAGGGTTTTTTTTTAAAGGATTTATTGGATTATTTTATGAGGGTCCAGTATCTGATCAATAGTAATTGAAAAAAGAAGTACAGAGAAAATAAAGGTGGGGAAATCATATTTAAATATATAGGAAAATTCTTCAGATTGAAAGAGCTTATTTGGTGGTTTCAAGGGTTGAAAAGACCTCCATCAAGGTGTCTAATAATATGACATTTTAGAATGTCATGGGTAGAGAGTAGAGCATTCCTGTTGGGAAAAGAGGTCATAGACACAGGAATGAGCACCAGAAGGCAACAGGACTTCTCAATAGTTATTCAAGATTTTTGATGACAATCGAGCACTAAGTTTAAAATTCTCAAGAAAATGATTTTTAATCTAGAATTCTCAAGAAAATGATTTTCAATCTAGAATTCTCAAGAAAATGATTTTCAATCTAGAATTCTATGTACAGCCAACTAAGCAAGGATCAGAGTAAAAGGAGGACTTTGTAGTTGTGTAAGTTCTTGGAGAATTGACTTTCCATCACTTAGGAAGTTTGAAGATAAATGGTAATAGAAGAGGGAGTAAAGCAAGACAGAGGAAGAGAGACGAGCTGGAGCCTGACAGAGGGGAGCAGCATGCAGCAGATGTGGAGGGCCGTGGTCGGGACAGAGAATAAGGACACGGAGGTCCACAAGATCTCCAGAGGAGAAGGGGCCTTTAGTACATTACCCTGTATGTTTTAGCATTGGGAAAAAGCTAGTGATGGCATGGTGGAACTGGTAGAACAGTTTGAAAATTAAAAAAAAAAAATTAGTTGGGTAATTGAGAAAAATCACATACTTTTAAAGTAAAAAGACACCAGGTCTCTGCATGCCAAGAGGGAAGGCCCTGTGAGGACAATGAGAAGGTGGCATCTGAAAACCAAGAAGAGAAGCCTCCGGAAGAACCGAACGTGCCGGCACCTTGATCTTGGACCTTTACCA